GCACGCCACCCTGCCTGCTCGGCCCAGGTAACCCCTCCCTCTGAGGTCACTTCACAGAGAAACAGGCTCGGCACCCCACATGCCAGAGGCCACCCATGAGGTGATGGGCAAAGTGAAGGCGGCCGCTGTGAGCAGGACACCTGTGTGGGTGAGGGCCATCGAGTGGGGGCAGGGAGAGCAGGTTTGGGGCGGATGGGGGGCTCTGGTTTGGCCTAGGGAGATGCCGCGGGGGGCTGGGGGGTGCGGAGTCTGGGGTTCAGAGTGGGGGGCCGGTGGGTGGCATAGAAGCGGGGGAGGGCCTCACCACTTTGTTCTCGTACAGCACCAGCCCGTAGTTGTGGGGCACGAGGCTGAAGCGGTTCCTCCACTTCTTGTTGTCTTCCTGGTACTGGAAGAGGTTCCCCGAGAAGATGATGCGCTCCTCCAGTGGGACCTAAGGTAGGGCCGGGGGTGAGGGTGGCCCACTGCCCGGCGGCCTGGCCTGCGCCCGGGGCCACTCGCGGTCCCACGCCCGGGGCCTCCTGAAGGCCGTCCAGGCAGCATCGCGCCCGCTGGGCAGATGAGGAAAGGGTTGCTCTGGCATGAGGGGCCTTCCCGGGCCTGGGAGGGACAGCGGGGACGTCGGGGCCTGAGCCCCAGCCAGGGGCCAGCAGAGCACAGCCTTCCTGTCCATCCCGGCACCAGGCTGGCCTTGTTCGGGAGCGGAAGGGGCGGCCGCCCCGGGACCTTCCTGAGTGGACAAGCACCGGGAAGCCTCGGGAGAGGACGCTCGGGAGGCGGCAGGGGGCAGGCCTACTCCTGCCCGCGAGGAATCGGGGTCCAGGTTCCTGCCTCTCGGAGGTTCTGTCTGTTCTACGAGAGATACGGTGTCTTTTGCAAAAGGAAACACGCATGGTGTGTGGTGAGAGGAGAAAGGATGACTGGGGGGCGGAGCCCTTCCCGGCATCCTGGCCTGGCCTGAGTCTGCCTCCCGCGGTCAGGGCCAGGGGCCCTCCTCAGCCGCCCCAGGCCGTCCCAGGGAGCCCCTTTCCCATCCACCTCCAGACTCCTCCAGGGGAAATGCCAAAACACTCTTGGAAAAAGAGGGCCCATTGTACTAAAACAATAGGCCGCAGTCCTGCTTCCGACCAGGGACAAAAATATTTACAGGAAAAGAGAAAGGCCCCCAGCCCCCAGTGGGCAAGCGGCTGCCCTGGGTGGTCTATATTTAGACCGGAGCTTACTCTCAACCAGCTCTAGAGCCCCCCTCTTTTCCAGAAAGGAGCAGGCAGCTGCCACACCCCGGGAGGCCATTTGCTTTCTCCACCTGCCCGGGGTGGGAGCCCCTCAGGGCCCCCCCAGGCCAGTCTTCTCAGCACCCCCTACCCCCCAGATCCTGGGGCCGCAGCAGTAAGCGTGGTTGGCTGCCAGTTGGGGTTTTATTTTTAAGACAAAAGCAGTCTCGATTGCTCTGAAAGGTCCCCAGGAAATGACAGGGAGCCCACCAGCCCGGGGCAGAGTCTGCACCCCAAGAGCCCTCGGAGGAGCAGCGCTGAGAAACTGGGGTAGGGCAGGGTTGGGGCAGGCCCTGTTCCCACCAGCACCCCAGGAGGGAGCCTGGACCCGAGTGCACCCCTGCGGCCCCCGCCCACATCTGGGGGTGACGCGGCCAGAGTGGGGTCTCGGGGAGCCAGGTACTGCGCACGAGGAGCTGCTTTGTCAGTTACCGGCAGTCAGTGCGGTGATAGTGACATGGTTTCCTACCACAGGACGTCACATTCGCTCCTCAGTGTCATGACTCAGTTTCCCGAATGGTACATGGGGCCAGGGTGCCCCCGTCTGGTGAGAAGGACTCGCCCAGGCCAGCAGGCGCAGTGCCCAGGCCCAGGTTCTGACCGACAGCGGGAGCCCCGACTGCCGCCGGCCTGGCTTCCTCTCTCGGGCAGACTGGGGGCCTCGGCCCAGCCCCTGGCCCGCTCCTGGGGGGGGGGGGCGGAGGGTGACGAGCCTGCTGGACACCAGCTCCAGCAGGTGCCGTTCCGACACCGCCCTTGGCTCCTGCTAACCCCCACCCCTTCAGCCACCTGACTTGGGGTGAGGGGGGAGACCACGGAAGCACCTCAGCCCTCCCAGCCTGTGGTTTCTCGGGCTCCTCCCTTGCTGCCGCCTCCTCCACGATGCCCACAGCACCCCTCCCCGAGAGCCCTACCCAGACCCGACCCCATCCGCCTCCAGGGGCCCAGGGAGCCCCCACCCTCCTTGAGCACGCCACCCTGCCTGCTCGGCCCAGGTAACCCCTCCCTCTGAGGTCACTTCACAGAGAAACAGGCTCGGCACCCCACATGCCAGAGGCCACCCGAAGTCAGGACTCGCACCCTCCCGGCCCCAGGCCCTCAGCGCAGCACACACAGCCGTCCTCACCACGCCCCGCACAGGAGGCTGAAGTCCGACCCGGCTGCCCTCGCTGACTAAGAGTGGGCCAGAGCTCCGCTCTGCCTGCTGCCGCCCGCCCCGCGTGCTGGCGAGGGCACCGGCAAGCTCACAGCCCGCGGGACCGGCCACGTGGCCCGAGCTCGGGCCGCGGGGCCTGCCTGACCTGGCTCAGGCCCCACTTTCCAAGAGCGGGGACCTGTCAGGGTCCTGGAGGGGGAGCTGGTGGCACCCGACGGGGCCCCAGGCAGGAGCCAGGCGCCTCCAGGCTGCCCGCGGCCACCCAGGGGCCGGCACCTTCCTCACGGCCCCCTGCCCTCTGCCACCCATCCAGGCCGCAGAGGGTGGAGGTCATGGAAGGGAACGGCCAGCACCAGTGCACTGGGGCTCCTGCTGCACCCCAGAGGAGCAAGGGCTGCCTCACGGCCTGGGTGCCAGGGAGACCTGCGGCACCCCCGCCCCGGCCTGTCCCACCACCCAGGCCTGGCCTCCTCCCCACTGGCCTGTGCTGACCCCCCGGCTGCAGCCAGGCAGCTCAACAAGTATCTACAGGGCAAACACCGCCCTGCACCTAATAACGGGCACCTGACTTGTCCCCTCCCGCATGCCCCGCGGGGGCCTGCTGGTGGCCTCAGTGAGACCAGCCGGCTCCAGGAAGCCTCGCCAGGCTGGCCACCTGCTCAGAAGCTAGGGACCCACCAGGACAGCGACCGGGCGCAGGGACCACTCACGCAGGCCACGGGCCCCACCCCCACCCCCACCCCCGCCGCTCTCACCTTGCGCCAGAGCAGCTGGGGCTGCGGCGCCCCCAGGCCCTCGATCTCGTGCCGCATGCTGTTGAAGAGGGCGACGCCATACTGGTCTTCGTAGAAGCGCAGGAAGTCCGTCAGGATCTTCCCGGTTTTCTCTGCCAGGCAAGGACAAACAGGACGTGAGCTGGGCAGCTCCCAACTGCGGCCACCTGCCTGCAGGGCCCCAAATTCCCACCTGTAAAACCGCGCGCGGGCTCCCCGCCTTCACCATGCACCTGGGGCCCCTGGACAGGAGCCCAGCAGGGGTCCAACAGATAGTGTTGGTCTGCCAGGCCCTGCCCCTGGTCCCCAGTCCTCAGGGCCAGGGGAGCCAAGAGCCGTTGCCATGAGGGAGCCCCCGGGGTGTGGAGGGCAGGGCTGTGCCTGGGCTGGAATCGGGGCGCCTTTCTGAGGGTGCTGGCGGCTGGGTGAGACCTCGGGGTGTTCACACCTGTCGTGCCGCGGGGCTCACGGCCCGAGAGGCTCACAGGGGAGCCTCGGAAACAAAGGCCCAGAGGGAACCAGAGGAAACCTGTCCCTGTGTGTGTGGCCAACACCCTGTCCCGACCCCGCTGCAACAGTAAGATGGAGGGATGGGCGGGTGCAGGCCCCCTGGGGCAGTCTCCGCACCCCGCTGCAGTAAACCCTGCAGAAACGCGGCTTCCAGACTCGCCCTTGAATGTCACCGCCCCCCAGTGACTCAGGGACTTATGCACAGAAACCATGCGGGAAGGGTGGCAGGGAGCACCCCAGAGCAGCCAGGAGCACCCCAGAACATTCAGGGTGGTCCTCCAGGCAGAGAGCGTTTCATTTTCGGCTTGATTCACGCTTAGAGCATTTGAATTATCTCACAAGCTTGTTTCTTTTCACCATGAAGAAATAAATATCCTAGGATTAACGCATCCAGCAGGGTGCTGAGCTTTGCTGTCGCCAGCGGGTGCTCTCTTCTGCCAAGGCGGTTTCCGAGCCGAGAGGTGAGGGCGCGGCCACGGCACGGCCACGGCGCGGCCACGCAGGCCCCGCACGGCACAGGCCCCATGCCGCCTGCATGACGCTAGTGCAGGTGAAGAGACGGAGGCCCAGGGCGGTCACGAGCCGTGATGAGGCCCCTCAGGAGAAGCCCTGGTCTGTGCCGCTCCCTTCTAGGCCTCAGTTTCCCCTGCACGCAGGGGACGGAGCTCGACCATGGCAGGCCCGTGGCTCCGACAGGCTCAGACTCCAGATTCCAAAGCCCTGCACCTTCCTCAAGAAGGGGTGGGTGGGGTGCTGTCCCCGACCTCCCACCGCTCCCCCGAGATTGGTCTCTGGGTACAGACGGCACCCAGCTTGCACAGCTTTTCCCTTAATCTTCTGAATAATTCTGCGCAGCGGGGCTGCACCACCCCCATGTTAGCAGAGGGAAATGACCCAGAGAGGGTAAGTCCCGCACAAGGTCACACAGCAAACGGCGCCGGGGCGAGCCAGCCAGCAGGAGGCCGCTGGGAAGAAGAGTGAAGGCATCAGCTGCTCGCCGCATGAGGCCGCAGGCCACTCCCTGCACTGCCCGGGACAGTTCAGCGCTGGCCCCTCTGCCCAGACCCTGCCTGCGCGCCCCTCCCCAGGAGTGAGGTCATGTCTGTCCAGATTCCTATCTGCGGGGAGGAAGGGGAGAACAAATGAGGAATTTGCTTTGAGGGCCTATTTTTTTTTAAAAGCCGTACACAGCTAGAATTCTCTCAAAGACCACAGGGGTTATTTTGGGAAATGAGGAGGCACGGCACAGCACCGTGAAGCTGTCCACAGCCACCGCGGCACGAGTTCGATCCCCGGCCAGGGAGGGACCCCCAGGGTACAGCAGACCTCTCCTGTCTCCTCGCTGCTCCCCTCAGTGTTTCAGTAAATCCACCTGTTCTGCTCCCCACTCAGGTGAATCCTCTCACACACACCCCCAACACCTCTGGCCAGTTCAGAAGTGCTGGGGCGGTGTGAGAGGATTCACCAGACAGAGTGGGTCACTCCCTGGCTGGGGATCAGAGATCAAACTGGGGCTGCAGACAGCTTCACGGGGCTGTGCCTAACCCTTTGCGTCGTCAGGGAGGGCTTATAAATAAGTCTGTTTTTAAAAAAGAAAGAAAATGAGACAGGACGGGGAGCATCAGGAGAGATGGGGGTGAGCTGGGGCCAAATGAAGGAAACAGGACGAGAGGTGACGCCACTGTGGAGGGGCCTGTGGCCACCCCCTCACTGCCGCCCTTCGGGGGGTCAAAGCTGAGCGAGCCAGTGCTGGGCACAGGCCCAAGGAAGCTTTGCGAAAACCCTCAGGACTCGGCGAGGTCGTTTCCCCCGTTTTAGGCAGGAGGTTCGTGGGTGCAGGGTGGGGAGCCAGGTTCACAGCCACTGGGCCACACGGCCTCAGTTTGGGGTTCTGCTCCGAGCAGCACTCTGGGGCGCAGGATGGGCTGGCCTCAGCCAGACCAGTATCACCCCGAGGCCGGAATCTGCTGCCCTGGCCCCCGGGAGCCAGGCTGGGCAGAAGACGCCATCCTGTGGAGAACTCGGACCTGGCCGGCCTGCACCACAGCACCTCGCGGCTGCCGGTCAGTGAAGCCCGCGCCCAATGTCCAGGCAGGGAGCAGAGGTCGGCGGGGTGGACGGGGGGAGGGCCTGTCGCCACCCCATCGGGGTGTGGAGGCCAAAGTCTGGCGGAGCTACGGGCTGAGAGGAAGTTAGGGAGGCCGAGGAAGTGAGGACCACAGCAAGGTGGCCCAGGCGGAAGCAGGAGCAGGCCGGCAGGCTGGACAGGAGGGCCGGGAGGTGTGGGCGGGTCGGGCAGGGTGAGCGCCTCCTGGTCCTCTCGACTGGGCTGCAGGGTACAGGCCAGGTCCGGAGCTGAGGCACGAGGCCTGGGCGAGCAGTTACCCAGCAGAGGGGCGCACCTCGATGAATGGAGGGGCAGACAAGGGAGCCCATGTGCCTGGCACCCTTAAACCAAACCGCTGCACCCCCAGTTGCATTACAGGTGCGCCTGGCAACTCAAGCTCAAGGGCTGCGTGGATCTGGGGCTGCCTTCGAACAATGGGACCCTGGGGGCTCCCCTCGGGACAGTGGGGGAGGTCCCCTCGGCCGGCCTCACCTCCCGGCTCATACCGCAAAGGCGGGAGGGGAGGGTGCTGGTGTCTGCAGTGGGAGGTGGGGCCTTGCTCTGCTCCCCGCGGTTCCCGGGTGCCCTCTCCAGTCAGCCCCAGGGCAGGCGAGCTCCCGGCGGGGGCGGGGTGGCACCTCCAGGGGTTCGGAATGAAGAGCAGGGTCCTACTGGTTATGCTCGGCCCAATTTTGGCGTCCAGGCAGAGCTGGCGGGAGAACAGGCTGTGGTCGGCTCTGGCAGAGGGCGGCCCAGTGAGTGCGGGCAGCCTGCGCGGGCAGGAGGCGGCTGGAAGCAGAGCAGGGAGCTCAGGTACGGAGAGGGGCCTAGGAGTGGGGGCTCCGGGACCCCGTGAGGCAGGCAGGGAGCGATCCCCGAAAGACTCACGGGGAGAAGCCCTGCTTGGGGTGACCCAGCAGCCTCCACAGATGGCGCTAGAGGACCCAGGGGGCTCCCCGATGGCAAAGGCTGGACCGGGCCTCAAGGCCCCCACAGCCCCCTCCTGCAGGTGCTGCTCACCCACTTCCCCCCACCACCCGCGGAGGCCACCCCCCGCTGAGCCCCCTCCCCTCCACCTCGGCCCCCACAGCCCCCTCCCGCAGGCGCTGCTCGGCCTGCTTTCCCTCCTGCCCCCCAAGAGCCGCCCTCCCTCAGCTGCCAGAGAGGTTCCGGCTGGGTGCCACTGTGCCCGCTGGTGCCCGAGTGGGGTCCTCGGGCCGCTCTGAGACGCCACGTGCCTCGGCTTTGGGGTCTCCAGCAGAGGTTCACTACCGCAAAGGGGCCTCTGAGCCCGAGCATGGGGTTCACCTGGGGTCACACAGCCAGCGGGGGGACGTCAGGGTCCAGGCAGCGGTCGGCTGACCCCCGGCCCTGGCTCTGCGCCCTGCCCACCGGCCCCACGGGAGCCCCCTCCCTCCAAATGAGGGTGGGGTGGACCCCAGGTGCGGGCAGGAGCCTCCAGCCCTGGGCTCTAGCTCCAGGTGAGGAGCAGGGTGCAGGTGTGGCCCAGCCCAGTGGCTGCCTCGGCTCCTGCCCTTGTTTGCGAAATGGGCACAACAGGCCTGCGGGCTGCTGGGCGGGGCCGGGAGCTCCCAGCCCGTGAGCTGACACAGCCAGACTGCAGGCTCACGGGAAGCATAACAGCCATCAATCCAGTAACGATTTGGGGGAAAAGCCAGGGTGAGAGCCCCAAAATGCACAGTGACAACAGGTGGGCCGTCCGCAGTCCTGGGGTGACGCACGGAAGGACCCCGTGAGGCCAGGGCTCGGCGGGGGGCGGTGTGGAGGAGCCAGGCCCGGCTGGGGGCCCCTCAAGCACAGCGCAGCCTCTGTGGGTGCCGGAGCCCGCCCTCTCCCCGCTCCCCACTCCTCGCCCCTCCACCGGTGTGGGCGCGGGCGCGGGGCACAGCCTGCCACACACTCCAGCTTCTGCAAATTGCCCCAGAGGGAAGGCAGGAGGAACCTCCCCTCAGACACCGCCCCAGGGAGCGCAGACCCCAAGGGGCGTTTCCCATCAGCCAAAGAAGCCCACTGAACACAGACATGGGGTTTTGCAGGAAGGGGACCCCCATCCCCTTCTTAGCCCAAGAGGGCCACCCGAGCGCAGTGGGGTGGAGCTGAGGGACCCCATCTTCTGTCCCCCCATGCTGGGAGCTCAGGGGCCACCACCCAGCTGGGGCCGCCACCTCCAGCCGTGAGGGTGCTGGGCTACCTGTGGCCCAGAGGCCCCCACCCGGGAGCACACGCACACGCCCCCACACGCTCCAGTCACGTCTGCCTCGGCCACGCCGGCTGGCCGGTGAGGGCGCCTGCGTCTGTCTCTGGGGCTTAGGGGTTCTGCCCCGGACGGCTGTGGCCTCTAAGGGCTGCACCCTTGGACTAACAGAGGTGACCCTGAGGGTCCCCCACGCTCCTCACTGCACACGAAGCCCCCGTGTCTCCCCACCGAGCCCCAATGCTCACGCAAACGCAAGAGGCGCTGTTGTTCCCCACTTT